AGCCTGTCTCTAGTCATGCAATAATATCTCATAAAGTGCATCATACATATCTCATAAACAAAAATAAGGGTATTTTGGGAAATCACCGTTTGGGCTTTGGCTGATTGTACACACTGCTCCTTCTTGCTTTCTCTTTGAACTCTTATTCACTTTTAGAAAATTATTTCTTTAAAAACTTTTCGTACTTCCTCAGTTTGAGTCCAGATTTACCCGAAGGCGCATCCGAATCCCTCAAACCAAGGCTCTGATACCAACTTGTAACACCGTAAATTTCAAGGCAAAATTTTTCATTTAAAATAATCATTTTACTCTTAGAAACACTTGTTTAAAAATCTATTCATAGTCGATTTACAAAAACATAACTCCATTTTTCACTTGCATAGAAAACCAAGATCCTCAAAAATATGACTCTTCTCTGGTGTGTACAATCAAGCCGGTGCCGTCCCGTGATACTGAAAGAAACCTGTAAAACATCAAACAAAACACTGTAAGCACGAAGCTTAGTGAGTTCCCCAAAATACCACACATAACACATATTAGCCACTCGAGGCTATAACTCTGTGGGTCCGTGCACCCAAACTCTGTGAACCCTCAGGTTCTAACTCTGGGAACCTTCCGGTTCCAACTCTATAAACATGCACAACATAAATCACATAGAAATAATGCAGTACAACACATCACGTACATATAGCATACAAATACTCTAATCACATAACTCTGGTTACCTACTCAAGGTAAAGTATAGTGAGAAGACTCACCTGGCAAGCAGAAAGCAGATATCCCCACACTTGAATCTTGAACTCGCCACCGCCTAACACGTAAGGCAAATACTCTCGTGAATATAACTCTTGAGACTAGAATAAATCCTCTCATAACACCCTCTTATGGGTAAAAGACTATTTTACCTCTCTCTTGGCCCAAAGGCCACATCGCTGACCAAACCCTAACAGTCAACGGCCAACCCTTGGTCGAAATCAAAGTCCTCAGTCTAAGTCAACCCCTGACTGACCCTACTCGCCGAGTCAACCCTGTGACTCGTCGAGTTCCCATAATCAGAACTTCACTCAATCTGTGACCTAACTCGCCGAGTCACCCCGAGACTCGCCGAGTCCAACAACTCTGAGTCCACTCGCACACGACTCACCGAGTCATCCCTCGACTCACCGATTCTCGACTCAACCAGAGAATATTTGGGACTCTTCGACAAGACTCGTCGAGTCCAAGAACAGACTCGCCGAGTCTACAACTATCTTCAACTTACTCGCCGAGTTGTTCATACAACTCGCCGAGTTCCAGGCCATCTTCATCCAACTCGTCGAGTCCCACCCATGTGACTCGCCGAGTACCGCCGGTCTGAATACATTCCGAAGCATTCCAGGCCATGCAACTGCTCCAAGACATAGATCTAGCCTCCTACCACTCATCCATCACGTAAAGGGGCAAACTTTACGTGAATCCAAAGAGATCTAAGCCGTTTGCACATTGGAGCTAGGGTTTGGGACATGCAAGCTTCACTAAACACTCCAACACAGGGACTTTCATGCTCTCTGATTCTTCTCCCTTCCAGATCTGAGGTAGCAACCTCAGATCTAACCTCTAGACTTCCCATTTCATCCATAGACAATTTCTCACAAATCCTAAAATGAAGAAACAACATAACAACAGGCCAAAAACGAGATATTACCTCTAAGTGATGCCCCAACTGCAATGCAATTCGAATCCAAGCAAAGCCCCTTGCTCCAAGCCTTCAATCTTCCCAAAATTCCTTCAACCATTACTTCTCCAAGCTCCAATCCACTCAAAATGGTGCTTCTCCGCGACCAAGTCGCGACTCTACTCGCCGAGTCCACACATGGACTCGCCGAGTCGCTCTTTCCCAATTTATTCTTTTAGCCCTTCAACTCTACTCTTGATATTTCGGGATGTTACATTTTGATGTTTTTAGGTACTTCCGGTACTAATGGAAATGACTAGAATTGATGGCATAACATTCACTCTCTAGAACTTTCCGCATTTATCTATTTTGTTACTATGATATTTGATACAATATGATATAATGAATTTTGGGAACAAATTAAGATTCCATGTCTATTTTCAAAAAATGAATAATTATTATATGGTTTTTGGACTGTTACATATGACAAACTTGTTTTAAGGATATCGTGTTAAACACGAACATTAACAACAATTTACTGTTTTGTTCTTACATGCAATTTTCATGTTATATTTCCCTAACACCCTTTTATGCATCATGTCATGAAAAAGCAGAAAATAGAAAAGTATGTTGCTATTTAGCAGGAAAAATTATAATAACTTTTTTTTTTTTTTTTTTTTTTTTTTTTTTTTTAAATTAGAGCACAAAAAATAGTCAAATGAAAGTACGTTGTTGTTTAGCAAAAAAAAAAAAAACTTGCATTTTTTGTGTTAGTTCACAAAAATTAATAAAGAAAAACATGTAGTTATTTAGCACGAAAAAAAAACTAAATTGCATTTTATGCATCATGTCACAAAAATATGTCTTGGCTTTGTCCATTATGTTATTTTGTTGGGATGTCGAGTTGCCATTTAGTTTATTAAAATACCCGACCAACATGTTATTTTCCAAACTTATGCGCTTCAACTAACAAATTAAATAACCGTAAGAAATTAAACGCAGAAACTGATTACATTAATAATTCTACGTATTGAGATACTCGGTCTATCAAACAAATATAACATTAATATTACGATAGATATAGCAAATATAAGATGTTAAAACATATCTTATATTTTAATATTTTTTGTGAGGAGCCCTATAACTATATAAAACACAAACACACGTGATAAACAATTTTTTTTATTTATAGAATCCACTTCTAAAAACAAACAATAAAATGTAAAAGTAAAATAAAATACCAAGTGAATAATAAAATATCACAATCTCTTATGATTCATAAGTTGTTAAAATACAAAATAAATTATTTTTTGAATAAATCAAATTGATAGTCCATTTGCTACGTTGTCGACTTTTAAACACGCTATTATAATATGAAAATTTGAATCTTACCATACTGCCATTTTTTCTTCCTCACGAAGGTTCCAAATTTGGTCAACAAAAAAAGAAAAAAAGTAGGACCAAAAAGAAAGCAAAAAAGAAAGAGAGGACTAAAAAGGTAAAAACCGGGAAGAAGTGTTTAAAAATTGCAAGCTTTTGCTATTAACCGGCACAAAAGGTCACCGATTAGACTCATAAGAGGGTTTTACTTCTTAGTCTTCGCAGATAGAGACTATTTGAGAGAAATCAACCCCGTGTAAACCGGCTATAGCCGGTAAACCACTACACCACCTTTCCCCAATCTTCCTCCCTGGTTCCTAGTTTCAAAATCTGAACTCTTTCTTTACAGATTCAACTCCATCTCTCTCTATGCGACTCAACAATTGGTTTATAATTTCGTATGGTTTACTTAGTATACGCTTTCTTTGAAGAGATTAATTTGTATACTTGGATCTTCGGCTCAGCTACGATCTCCAATCCGTAAGCTTTCAAGTCTAGCTCTTTTTTTCTAGATTTGTGTTTCCGAATTTGACCATTCTTGCTAGCATTGCTGGAGGTTAGATGGCTCATGCGCTCAAGTTGGGGTTTTAGTCTGTTGGTTGAGTTTTTTTTGTTCAATTAGATAAGTAATTAGCGGCTTAGTGCAATTCTTAGGGCTTGCTTTAAATTACACATATATGTCTCTGGGTGGGGTGTTGAGGGGCGAAAATTTAAGTTTTTGATTCGTACTTCTGTTCAATAGCTAACCTTTTAGGGTTTATCTTTCCTGCAGACCTAGGACAGCTGGACAGGTGCTAATACTTTTGAGGAGATATATCATATCTGAAAGGCTAATACTTATCAGTGTCTGCTAATTGTTATGGAGTTGTAACTTGTAAGATCTTATTGCTTACACATACAGGGTTATAAATGTCTGATGTGGGGAATCTATGGGAGCGTTTGGTACGTGCTGCACTAAGAAGGGAGAGAACAGGAATTGATGCTTATGGGCGACCTGCTGGTGGCATTGCTGGAAATGTCCCATCATCACTTTCCAACAGTAGGGACATAGACCCTATCTTAAGAGCAGCTGATGAAATTCAAGATGACGACCCCAACATTTCTAGGATTTGTATGTATTTCATCCCAATTTCTTTTCCATATCTGATAAACATTGCTAAAGATAGTGTTTCTGTAATTCTATTACTTCATTGCAGTGTGTGAATATGCTTATACACTGGCTCAAAATTTGGACCCCAACAGTGAAGGGAGGGGTGTACTACAGTTCAAGACAGGTTTGATGTCTGTAATCAAGGTATGATTTTGAGTCAATGAGATTGTGACAAGTGTCTTGACTTTCTTCATAAACTAATTGTGCCAAATGTTCATATGGCAGCAAAAATTAGCAAAGAGGGAGGGTGGAAGCATTGATAGAAGTCGAGACATTGCTCGCTTACAAGAGTTTTATAAACTTTACAGAGAGAAGAATGATGTAGATAAGTTACGTGAGGAGGAAATGGAAATGAGGGAATCAGGGACTTTTAGTGGAAACTTTCAAGAGTATGCATCTTTTTACAATTTTTCTATCTACTGTTGACATTTTATCTTTCATATATGAATTGATTTCATGTTACAAAAACAGGTTAGAACGCAAAACAGTGAAGAGGAAAAGGGTTTTTGCAACTCTTAAAGTTATAGGAACTGTTTTAGAGCAACTTGCTAAAGAGGTTTCACCTGAGGAAGCACAAGGATTGATCTCTGAAGAGTTAAAACGGATGATGGAATCTGATGCAGCTATGACAGAAGACTTGATTGCATATAATATTATTCCTCTTGATGCCCCTGTTGTAACAAATGTTATCACTTCATTCCCTGAGGTGAATAGTAATACTGAATACCATTTTATTTTCTTTATCCTATCTGTCCAATTACTTTTATATTATTTATATTCTTATTCAAGATTCCATGATTCTTTACTTAGGTGCGTGCTGCAGTATCATCATTGAAGTACTTCAGAGGTCTCCCAAAGCTGCCTGCAAATTTTCCAATACCTGCTACAAGGAGTGCTGATATGCTCGATTTTCTGCACTATGTTTTTGGATTTCAGGTTTGTAGTTTACTAGTTTATGATAATATGGAAACATAAAGGGTAGATTGGGACTTAAAAAAATGTATTTTTTTTTATCTTTGGTGATTGCAGAAAGGTAATGTTGCAAATCAAAGGGAGAATATAGTAAATCTACTTTCAAATGAGCAAACTCGACTTGGTCCTCCTGATGAACATGAACCGGTATGTTTATAACTTTATATTCATGAACAAGTTACCCCTGTTCAATAAAGGGTATTTTTGTAATAAAGTGGAATGTAATTTGTTTTAGAAACTGGATGAGACTGCTGTGGAGAGAGTATTCTTGAAGTCTCTTGATAACTACATCAAGTGGTGCACTTACTTAAACATCCCTCTAATGTGGAGCAAGTATGACATTTCTACCCCTATGATCTTTCTAGAGTTATAGCTAGAGCACAAATCCCTTAGCTTCTTTATTTTGATTTTGCAGTTCAGGTATCAATAAAGAAAAGAAGATACTTTTTCTCTCTTTGTACTTTTTGATATGGGGTGAAGCTGCTAATGTTCGATTCCTTCCGGAATGTTTATGCTACATATTTCATCGTGTAAGATATTTTCTTTGATATTTACAATTTTATATGTATAAAAAGACAATTCACATGTTCTAGAAGGTTTAACTCAGATTTTAATAAACAGATGGGAGATGAATTGTGTGAATTATTGAGTGAGCAGATTGCAAAGCCAGCCACTAGTTGTGTTGCAGAAAATGGTGTTTCATTTCTTGAACAAGTCATAACCCCTCTCTATGAAGTTATAGCTGCTGTATGTCTTGTGTATTTACAACTTTGCCACTTTCCCATTTCAAGAATTTGTTTTTTTTATGAAAGGTCTTGATTTTTTCAGGAAGCTGATAACAATGAAAATGGGAAAGCTCCGCATTCTTCATGGAGAAATTATGATGACTTCAATGAGTACTTCTGGTAAGCTTTGTTACACGAAATATCAACATACTAATATTACCAATTTACCCTTCTAAATACCTTTTTAATGACCCTTTATTTTTATTTTTTTAATATTGTTTCAAACGATCTTTGTTTTTTCAGGTCTCAAAGTTGCCTGAAACTCGGTTGGCCATTTGACCCAAATTCATCTTTCCTCCTGAAACCAACACGAAAGTCAAACGTATTCATCTTATGATCTTTTTTTTTGTGTATTCATTAGTCAACATGTTGACTTTTCTATCTTTGACCACCTTTGACTCTTTTTTTTTTTTTTTTTTTTTGTTGTAACAGAATATATTGAATGCAAGCATCACAAAACGTCGTGGGAAAACCTCTTTTGTTGAACACCGAACATTTTTCCATCTTTACCATAGCTTTGATCGCTTGTGGATCTTCCTTTTCATGATGTTTCAGGTTTGACTTTTTGACTTTTTCCTTAATTTCTTATACTTTATACAAATTCCAATACTAAAATACTATCCTCTCCACAGGGACTTACAATCATTGCATTCAATAATGGAAAGCTGAATGACAAGACAATACGTGAAGTTCTTAGTTTAGGCCCAACTTTTTTTGTTATGAAGCTTTTCCAAAGTAGGTGTCTTTTTTTCATTTCATTTAATAATAATTAATAATTTTTATATTTCTTTAAACTTATTGTTTCTTTATTCAGGTGCATTGGATATTGTGGTGATGTATGGAGCCTATTCTACAACAAAGACTTTAGCTGTTTCACGGATTTTTGTTCGTTTCATTTGGTTTACATTTGCTACCATTTTCATATGCTTCCTTTACGTGTATGTAATTTAAATTTAAATTTTTACAATCTAATTAAATTCTTACATGGCAACTTTTTTGAAATGATATGATTGTGTTTATTCCAGGAAAGGTTTGCAGGAGAAGACTAGTTCAAATTCAGAGTCTATTATTTATAAAATATATATAATAGTTTTATGCATCTATGCTGGAAGTCATTTGTTTTGGAGCTCATTAGCAAGGTTGCCAGCCTGTCATCGCCTTTTCAATCGGTGTGATAACTCACCAGTTGTTCGTTTAATCAAGTGGATTCATCAGGTTTTTTTTATAGCTTCATATTTTTCTTTTTATAATCCTTTACTTTATTACAATAATAACAAGATTTTCTTGTTCTTTTTATGAAGGAACATTATTATGTTGGACGTGGCATGTATGAAGCAACAACTGATTATATACTGTAATGACTTGACTACCCTTTACTTTTTTTTTTAATAATTCTTGTTCTTTTTTATTATACTGAGGGTATATTGGTAAAACAGGTATATGCTTTTCTGGCTTGTTGTATTGGGGGGAAAGTTCTCGTTTGCCTATTTTCTCCAGGTAAATAACATGTTTTAGGTTGGATGGATATTATGAAATTTGTTTTCTGGAATGTAAGGGTAAAATTGTCATTTAGTCTCATGCAAACAGTTTATGAAATTTGTTTTCTGGAATGTTAGGGTAACATGTTTTAATGGATTAAGCCTAAAAATCTGGCTTAATCTAATAAGACACAAACCATGTACCAAATTTCCCTTATTTTTTTTTTCCTTTCAACTCCTCTCATGTACAGTTGGATGGGTATTATGAAATTTGTTTTCTTTATTGTATTATGTAAGGGTAAAATTGTCATTTACTCTCATTCAAACGGTTTTTTTCAGTCTAGAAAAAGAAATAGACGACAATTTTCACTCTACATGACATAATGGGAAAAAAAGAAACATGTGTTTCAACTTTCAAACTTCAATATTACTAATCTTTTTGATTTTCTTATTTATACAGATAAGGCCATTGGTGAAACCAACAAGGCAGATAATTAAAATAGAAGATGTGCGATATTCTTGGCATGATTTTGTATCGAAAAGTAAGCTGTAAATTTGTTGATATTGAAAATAAAAATATATATTTGGAACATCATTTGCTTGATATTTATTTTAATGATTTTATATGCAGACAATCATAATGCCTTGACTGTTGCTAGCTTGTGGGCCCCTGTGGTTTGTGTAAGTGAACATTTTGTTTTTGTTTTTCTGTTTTGTTTTCTCTTCATACTAATATAGTAATATATATATATATATATATATATATATATATATATATATCTTTGAATTTCAGATCTATCTTTTAGACATTCACATATTTTACACTATTATATCTGCTGTTGTGGGTTTCTTGCTTGGAGCTAGAGATCGTCTTGGTGAGGTAAATTTACCTTTTCGCCCTTGTCTACTGACATAACATGTAAACCTCACTAGAAAGACATACATACTTATTAAAAAGCTAATTCATATTTTCTTGATGCTTTCAGATTCGGTCTTTGAGTTCTGTCCACAAAAACTTTGAGAGGTTCCCTGCAGAATTCATGGATAATCTCCACATTCCTCTTTCAAGCAGGTGTTCTTCATCTCTTTCTGTAACATAATTTGTTGAATTCCATTTTCTGTCCTATATTAATGTTTAATTATATTTTTCAGGAGTTCCCTTAAGGTAACTGGTCAGATTCTTGTAAAAGATAAGTTTGATGCTGCTAGATTTTCACCTTTCTGGAATGAGATTGTAAAAAATCTAAGAGAAGAAGATTACATTACTAATCTGTGAGTTTTTAACTTCTATTAACATGACTTATTTAGGTAAAGTATTACATTTTTGCCCTCAGGTTTTGACTTTTGATGTGTCTTTCTTTTCAGGGAAATGGAATTGCTTCAAATGCCTAAAAATACTGGAACTGTTCCCATGGTGCAATGGCCTCTTTTTCTACTAGCCAGCAAGGTTACTAAAAATCCTTCAATTTTGAATTTTTACATTTTCTTTATAAATATTTATTTATTTTTTTCTTTTTTATGTTTAGTTATTCCTTGCAAAAGATATAGCTGGAGAGAGTGACACACAAGACGAACTATGGGATAGAATTTCAAGAGATGATTATATGCAATATGCAGTTGAGGAATGTTTTTACACCATCAAGCTAATTTTGACTTCAATTTTCGACAAAGAAGGGAACGAATGGTATGTGTTTAATCAGGGTCAATTACGTCATTTCACTATTTTTTTTTCTTAACATATTCATCTCCCACAGGGTTGAAAGAATATACGATGACATTAAAGCAAGTATAGTGCAAAGAACAATCCACTTTGACTTTCAACTGAAAAAACTCTCACTTGTTATGCAAAAAGTCACTGCCCTTACTGGAATTCTGGTCTGTAATTGTTTTTTTTAATCAATTTATTTTATTTTTACTGTAATAATGTGGTTTTAAATTTTAATTGTATATTTACAGAAAGAAGGTGGAAGCCCTGAATTGGAGATTGGAGCTGTTAATGCTGCTCTAGATCTTTATGATGTTGTCCAGCTTGATTTTTTTAGTGGCAATATGAGGTGTGTGTGTGTACAACAATAATAGTTTACAATTTTTAATTTTTTTTGTATAACATATATTTTTGGATCTTTTTTCAGACAAAATTATACCACATGGAATAATGTTATAAAAGCAAGAAAAGAAGGTCGTCTGTTTTCAAAGCTGAAGTGGCCAAAAGATCCTGAATTGGTATGTACTAGACTAATAGTTAAACTCATGTTATTTGACTCTTCCTTTATCTATTTTTCTCATTGGTTTTTAATTTTTATAATTTTTTTTTTTTTCATTTAAAGAGGTCACAAATTAAGAGGCTACACTCGCTTTTAACAATCAAGGATTCAGCAGTAAACGTTCCCAGAAATCTAGAGGCTAGAAGAAGATTAGAGTTTTTCACAAATTCACTTTTCATGTCAATGCCCAAAACCAGGCCTGTTCGCGAAATGTTATCTTTCTGGTAATTACGAATTTACCCCTCGTTTGAATATTTTTAACCAATTAAACCACTTGGGTACTGATAAAGTTTTGAAAATTTTGAATTTTCCAGTGTTTTCACTCCTTATTATTCAGAGACTGTTATTTATAGCATGCGTGAGCTTCTAAAGAAAAATGAAGATGGGATTTCTATTCTGTTTTACCTTCAAAAGATTTATCCAGGTATTGCCTCTTTCAAGTTTCAAGTTTCAAACTCCAATACGTCTGGAATAGTAGGGGCATTTTTGTCATTTCCTTTTCGGTTCTGCAGATGAATGGAAAAACTTTCTTGCACGTCTTGGACATGACGAAAATACCCCTGAATCGGTACTTATTGAGAATGAAGAAGATAATCTTGAACTCCGATTCTGGGCATCTTATCGAGGACAAACATTATCAAGAACCGGTATTTTTTTTTTTAATCTTTTTTTTATCTCTTAAATTTTTTCAAACTTTGTTAATTTTTGTATGTTGTACCATATACAGTGCGAGGAATGATGTATTACAGAAAAGCTTTAATGTTACAAGCCTATCTGGAGAAGATGACAGTTGGAGGTTTGTGTTTTAAAAATATTTTTTAATTTTAATTTTAATCTGTTTTCTAATATACTTATATTACACTAGGTGTGGAAGCTGCTGTTCCACCTAATGAAGCAACAGAAACAAAAGGCTTTGAGTTTTCTCCTGAAGCAAGAGCACAAGCTGACCTTAAATTCACATACGTTGTCACATGTCAAATTTATGGAAAGCAAAAAGAAGAACAAAAACCAGAAGCTGCTGATATTGCACTGTTATTACAAAAGTCAGATATATATATATATATATATATATATATATATATATATATATATATTTAAAATTTCCTCTTATGATTCTATATTCTTTTTCTAATAATACTAATTCTTTGATATATATATTTTTTTTCTAGAAATGAAGCACTTCGAGTTGCTTTCATTGATGAGGTGGAGACTTTGACTGGTGGGAAAGTGCAAAAAGAGTTTTACTCTAAACTTGTGAAGGGTGACATCAATGGGAAAGATAAGGTTCATATTTTTCTATGAGTCTTAACACTATATATGTTTTGTTATATACTTATATCATACTTAATTTTGAAGTAAATTGCTAAATATCATGCAGGAAGTTTATTCTATAAAATTGCCAGGAAATCCCAAACTCGGAGAAGGAAAACCTGAAAATCAAAATCATGCGATTGTGTTTACACGTGGAAATGCTGTTCAAACAATTGACATGAATCAAGATAATTATTTTGAAGAAGCTTTAAAGATGAGGAATCTTCTAGAAGAATTCCATGAGAATCATGGTATCCGTCTTGCTACCATTCTTGGTGTCAGGGAACATGTTTTTACAGGAAGGTATAAAATTATAATTATAAATAAAAAATAATAATGTATTTAGTTATTTACTATTTATAACACACACACAAATACAGAAAGTTTTAATGTTTTTGAATCATATATGCAGTGTTTCTTCTTTAGCATCCTTCATGTCAAATCAAGAAACGAGTTTTGTAACTCTTGGGCAACGTGTTCTTGCAAGTCCTCTAAAGTAAGTTTGACTTTTCTATCCAAGCAATGTATGTTCTTGTTCCCAGGGGTATTTTTGTCATTTTGGTGATTTAAAATTATTTTTCAGGGTTCGTATGCATTATGGTCATCCGGATGTGTTTGATAGAGTCTTCCATATAACACGAGGTGGTATCAGCAAAGCCTCTCGTGTCATCAACATTAGTGAAGATATTTATGCAGGTATATATATTTAATAATAATAATAATAATATATTTTTCTCTCTTTATTTCTTGTTTTCTTGTTTTTTTTTTAAATATCTAATATCACCTTTAAATTCAGGTTTTAATTCAACTTTGCGTCAAGGAAATATCACGCATCATGAATACATCCAGGTATTTGTTATTTTTGTTGAAATACTTCTTCCCTTCTAAAAGTAAAAAAAAAAAAATTGTTTTTAATTTTTTTTTTAAATGTTGTGAAGGTTGGAAAGGGGAGAGATGTGGGGCTGAATCAGATTGCTCTGTTTGAAGGAAAAGTAGCTGGAGGAAATGGAGAGCAGGTTCTTAGTAGAGATATATACAGACTTGGTCAACTCTTTGACTTCTTCCGCATGCTTTCATTCTACTTTACTACTGTTGGATTTTACTTCTGCACCATGGTACACTACACCTTTTTTTATTTATTAATTCATATTACTTTTAAAAAAAACAGCTAACAACTTTTATGTTTTGATATACAGTTAACAGTGATCACAGTGTACATATTTCTCTATGGGAAAACATATCTGGTATGTTTTAATTTTTTTTTATATAAAACTTCTCGTTACTGTTTTATATAATTTCATGTATATATATATATATTCTTAGGCATTATCTGGAGTTGGTGAAGATATTCAATCAAGATCTGAAGTGCTCGAAAACACTGCTCTAAATGCAGCCTTGAATACACAGTTCTTATTCCAAATTGGTGTATTTACAGCTATACCCATGGTTTTGGGTTTCATCTTAGAACAAGGATTCTTAAGGGTATGTTGGTCTTTTTTCCATGTAGATTATTGTTTACATAAATATATATATAATCTTTGTTGTTGCAATGCAATGCAGGCTGTTGTCAGTTTTATCACAATGCAGTTTCAACTTTGCACTGTGTTCTTTACATTTTCTTTGGGTACAAGAACACATTACTTTGGTAGAACAATTCTTCATGGTGGTGCAAAGGTTTGTTTGTTTGTTTTTTTTTTCTTTTTAATCATTTTTTATAATCTAATTAAATTTTATTGCAAAAAACAGTATCATGCAACTGGTCGTGGGTTCGTTGTGCGCCATATAAAATTTTCAGAAAACTACAGACTTTATTCGCGAAGCCATTTTGTCAAAGGGTACTCTCTTTCTTTCTCTCTCTAGAAAATTCACTTTCTCTCTCATGGTTTTAATATTTTGTTTATTTATTTATTGAAACAGAATGGAAGTGGTTTTATTGCTAGTGGTGTACATTGCATATGGGTACAATTCAAGTGGTTTAATAGGCTACATTCTTTTAAGTGTTAGCAGTTGGTTTATGGCCATTTCATGGCTTTTTGCTCCTTATTTGTTCAATCCATCCGGTTTCGAATGGCAAAAGTGAGTTTTTTATTTTTATTTTTCTAATAATTTATTACATCATCTTTATATTTTATATATATATATTTTTTGTTTTCCAATTTTAGGACAGTGGAGGACTTCAGAGACTGGACGAATTGGCTCTTCTATAGAGGTGGAATTGGTGTCAAAGGAGAAGAAAGCTGGGAAGCTTGGTGGGATGAAGAATTGGTACCTACAGTTTTACAAAAATACCCTTTTGTTTCTCTGTTACCATGTCCTTATATACAATTCTTAATTCTTAATTACGATGAAATGTTGTTGTTTTCTTATAGTCCCATATTCGAACATTTGGGGGGAGAGTTATGGAGACGATTTTGAGCCTAAGGTTTTTCATATTCCAGTATGGTGTTGTTTACAAATTGGACGTGCAAGATACAAATACATCATTATCTGTAAGAATTTCAATTTCATAATCCACACAAATTTTAATTCTCAAGAATCAAATTGGTATATTCCTTCCTTCCTTCCTTCCTTCTTACAGGTGTACGGATTTTCATGGCTTGTGCTTGTCGGCCTCACTATCCTTTTCAAGGTACACAATAAAAAAGTCAGTAATATTTAATATCACTCTCCAAATTCTTACCTTTTTTTTTTTTACAGATATTCACATTCTCCCAGAAAATCTCAGTGAATTTTCAACTAATCTTACGGTTTGTACAAGGCGTTGCTTTCATGCTAGCAATTGCGGGAATATCCGTGGCTATTGCCCTTTCTTCCCTCACTGTCACTGATGTCTTTGCCTCCATCTTGGCCTTTGTTCCCACCGGTTGGGGGTTACTTTCGGTATTTTCTTTTTCTCTTTTCTTTTTGCACTTCCGAATGCAAGGGTAAAATAGTCATTTACGTTTGTTGCTGTTGGTAGATATGTGTGGCGTGGAAGCCGGTGTTGAAAAAGATCGGGCTGTGGAAATCAGTGAGGTCGCTTGCTCGATTGTATGATGCGGGAATGGGAATGCTGATATTTGTCCCGATTGCTTTGTGCTCATGGTTCCCTTTCATCTCAACCTTTCAAACAAGGTTAATGTTCAATCAAGCCTTCAGTAGAGGGCTTGAAATCTCACTCATTTTGGCGGGAAACAACCCGAATTCTGGGATATAGTTGTGTTGGCTTTTGTTTTGTACATGTAGAGAGAGAAAGAGAGAAAGAGAAACTTTGGATGTGTTGGTGTTTAAGACAGACTTTGGTATGAAGATTTAGTAAAACTACAAGTGTTTGTAAATTATGAGGGTGTAAATTTTGTAGGGTTTTGGGAATCTTGAATGTGGAAAGTGGACAGTTTTTGTGGTATCTTATAATTTATTTTTATTATATAGTTTTCAATAGTATTAATCATTAAAAAAAAAAAATTCAAAGCTTTAAATAAATAAATTTTTATGTCTGTCTATAATTATATTTCAAGATTTCATTTCATCTAGTTCATTTTATTTTATATTTTTGTAGATGATATATGATTCTTTCTAAATAACTTGTAAAACATATAACATATACTTTGAACCAAATAAAATATATTTATATATAATTTAGTTAAGTGATTAAAAATATTGACAATATCGAACTGATACCTTACTCTATACTACTACATTTGATTTTTTATTTTTGTGCAATTTCGATTTTGGTATATGTTCAGTCAGTTCCGATACTTTTCTCAATTATAAGTTCAAACTAAACCAATTTTCCCGGATTGAACCAATATCGTGCCCTATACTTTGGTTTGGTGTTCGCTTCCTACTTTTGTGTCATTCATGTTTATCACTAATAACGAGTTCATCCTAATTTTTTTTTTTTTAAAATTAAAGTTTATTATTATAAAATAATATGGGTTTTTTCTTTATTTATCAATTTTACATTACCAAGCTTTATACTTATTGATAAAAAAGGGTGTTTGAATGATTCATTCTATTATTTTAAATACACCTAACTGAAAATGAAATATAATGATCCATTTCATTTTCATTCAATTATGATGTCCATATTGGTCATTTTATTTCATCATACCAGACATACTAAGTTCAAATTTGATCTTTTAGTTTTTAGCAATTTTGTTATTTTTGTTTTTTAAAAAGGAAATTTCACAAAATCTGATATATTTTTAGCTTTTTATTTAAAAATCATTGCTTACTTATTTTTTCAGAAATCATTTTTTAAAAAGAAAATTACTTGGACTATATATATATATATATATATGATAAAACTGCAAATTTGGTCATTGTGGTTTGCAAAAACCTTTAGATGGGGTTCAAAAAGTTTCCAGCTTACAGAAGGTTCAAAATCATGAGTTTTCTAGGTTTTTGATCCTAAACTTAAGAAATTTTTTAATTTTTGGTCTATGGAGCACTTGAATTGACTGTTTTGCCCTTTAAATTTCTTTTTTGTGTTATTTATATTTTTATTTTGTAAATATTAATACAGAAAAAGAGATTAAGTTATCTCACCCCATCTCTCTCTCTCTCTCTATATATATATATATATATATATATATATTTATATATATATATATATATATATATATATATATATATATATATATATATATATATATATATATATATATCAACACCAACATTAACCGGAATACCAAAATCTCTATGAAAGTGTGCTAATCGTTCATCTTCAATCATCTTCTCCACTGTCAAACTCAAAAGTTCATGAAGAATCCTAACATATTGCTTCTCAAATTGCTCAATCCCACCATAGCTCGAAGCCCTAAAAGTCTATTTTTATTCATAGGGTTTAACGTAAGGAAGTCTTTGCTATTCATTCAATTTTGGTTTGAATTTTGCTTTAATTTTGAATCTTATTGGGAAATTGATCGAAAATGCATATTTGGTTTCGAATTCACTTAACCATTTCTCTGTATACTCTCTTTCCCTCCATTTCTCCACTTCAACTACCATCTCTGTCGAACACATGGGGATTTTCAGAGGAACCCAACAATGGGTACATTTAGACCAACAAATATGTTCCAACGAGACATGATTTGAACCAAAACAAAGGGTCTTCTTCCACGACCTGACATGAGGTTATCGAACCTTAGGATTAAGCTGAGTTTGCAAAGATTAGTCTTGAGGTTGTCGACCTTCAGGTCCCTAGTTCTGTCTTTCAAGATGGTTTGTGCAATGACTGCTAGTTTCTTCCATCGATGTTGTGTAATGGAGGTGAAAGGCCCAAATTAGAGTTGAATGAGTCGAGATGACACCTAGGTTTTGTATATGAATCGGTGTAGAACCCTTGTAATGCCTATAATGACGTTATATGAACCAGAAATTGGAGCTTTGACTGCAATTTGGGGAGCTCCTTTCGATATAAGGGTGGTATTAGGTTTTGCAGTGAAATTTATGAAACTTTTTCAGAAGGTGAAGAGACATTAAGGGAGGGGAAGGGTGGTCAGGGCTCTTTTAGTTCACCGACGTCAAGGTGTTGCAGAAATGTGAAGTTAGAAAGAGAAGCGGGAGGGTACCAGACATGGATACGTCGAGGATAGAATCTATTCAAGGGATGGACTTTTTTTTTTTTTTTCTGGATATAAGAGATAGAGAGAGAGAGGTACCAATTGGGGTGGAGTAGGGGTCTATCTTTTTTGTTTTTTATTTTTGTTTCATAAAGTATTAAAATAAATAAGAAAAAAAGATAAAACTGAAATTAAAAGGGTAAATAGGTAATTTCAAAAAATTTTGGATCAAAAACTCAGAAAAACCTTGGTTTTGGACCTTCTGTGTAAGCTGGAAACTTTTTGGACCCCATCCAAAGATTTTTGCAAACCACAAGAACTAAATTTGCAGTTTTGTCTATATATATATATATATATATATATATATATATATATATATATATATATATATATATATATATATATATATATATATATATATATATATATATATATGGAAAAGTGAATATACCCTTAAGGGTATGTAACCTTAGGTACCAAACTCACCATACTACGTCGTTTGATATCATATAATATATTCTAATTGTCTGGTGTTCTTATAATTTAACTTCTAACTTGATTTACTTCCATGATTTTTATAAATTACACATTTATCTTCATCTTACATAATTTCCATTTTAAACTACAATTAATATAGTTTAGTAGGTATTCGGAAAAAAATAATATAAGAGAAGATAATAATGAAATTTCAAAAATGTTGAAAATAAATCAAGTTATTGATTGAAGTTTAAGAGCATAATATATCAAACAAAACGATGTATTATGGTGTGTTTGGGTACCTAAGCTTATATAACCTTAAGGATATATTCACTTTTCCCATATATATATATATATATATATATATATATATATATATATATATATATATATATATATATATTAATTTGCTAACTAAATATGACTATAAAAAGTAAACCTATGTTGATTAAAATATTATAGCCACGATAAAAAACCCCTCCATTATGAGAAACAAACCCTTAATAGTGACTACAAAAAATCCATCTCTCATCATTTCCATCCTACGGTCCCCTTTGACATCGCATCTATTTTTCCATACATAACCTCCATAAATTATAGAAATGTTATCTTTCTTATCCCTAGACCATAAATGCATTAATTATTTGTATCTTACAAGTGTTTAGCATATAGGAAGGAAAGAGTTGCACAAAAGAGAGAGGGAGCATCAATGAAGACAACCCACTTCGGGTATTATGGCTGTGCTAAGGCATTGTGGGTGGTATATCCTTTAGCACCGACAAACTCAACTCCATCCACCCTTAGTGTTGTGTCACTTTTAGGTTCACCATTGTGAATTTGTTTGAAAGCAAATGAGGTCAACTTTAGATCATTGTCACAACCAAACAAACAACTAACAACCATGGCATAATCGAGGACGAATGAAGGCGAATAGGTTGTGGTTTCAAATTGACAAGGATGTGTAAATAAATGATAGATTTTGCGTTTTGATTGTGGTTGTAATTTTAATTCAAATTTAAATAAAAAAATAACAAAAAGACGAATATGTTGTAATTTCAAATTGACAAGGATGTGTAAACAAATGATAGATTTTGCGTTTTGATTGTGGTTGTAATTTTAATTCAAATTTAAATAAGAAAATAACAAAAAGAGTATAATGTCAAAAAGACTTAGCTTTAACTTTAAACCCAAACCCTAAACTGTACATTTTTTTAATCATAGAGATTCGTTAATATTGGAAAAATATTTGCTCTATTGTGTAAACTATAAGAACTATTTATTCGAGTTTTGTTTGAAATTATTGGGTTTTGAATTTTTTTTTTGAAAATATAATGTTTTTTGGAAATGGCAAACGATCAAATGAAAACCTACTTGCAATATTTCAAAAAACACCTCGAATTCAAGCTCTTTTACAAAGCAAACCTAATCTCCATAAGGTTTCACTTTTCAGGGAAAATCTCTCCATGTGACACTTTTTGATGATTACAAAAATTGAATCTATCACCTCTATCCCACATGGATATTAAAGTGGGTGCATCCACGGCTATGCTGACCTTTATGAATCACTCATTAACAAAATAGTTAAAATAGAATGTATTGTGTTTAACTATTCAAGGCCCTGGACCAGTTACATAAGTGCATGCAAAGTTAAGGATTTATGGATTGGGCTCACGGCTTTGTGCACTTGTAGTTTGAAATCTGAATTAAAGCTTGAAATAAATATAAGTATGAATTATAGAATTAGTAAATTTATCGACATACGAATGCCGTATTCTTTCCAATCTTTTATTTTGCATAAATATAAGATATGTCGGTAAAGTATGTTAAACGTGATTTTAATGTTTAAACATTATCATATCTTTAAAATATTCTAATCTATTTTAAGATGAAACTTTTAACAAAGAGTTTGAAAATTATTCAAAATCATTTGCGGATACGTCTTATTTTACGACTTCATATTATAAACAACTTTCATAAGCTTAATATCAATCGTGAATTACATTTTTTGTTCTTTCTCAATTTGTTTTATTTTCGGATTATAACAACTTGTACGAGAAGAAATGAAGGGAGAGAAACTGTAATTCTCATTAGTGTAATACTGATTGATCTACTTACGAGAATGATGTCTAGGCTGTGATTTAGTGAGGTGTTTAAAGTGGGATTTTCAAACAGTATACTTCGTATACCAAACGGACTCTTCCTCCGATATGATCCTACCTGGTTGTTCCTTACTTGATAAATCATGAAAGTATATTTTGAGTTAATGATGAATCTAGACTAATAATTAGTCGTAATAAAGATTAGACTAAAACTTAGTGATGATAATGTTAGGTTTCATCGAAGGAAAATAGAATCGTTAAAAGCAAAGCGCTGCTCGAGTTTGGAATCATCACTTTAACAAGTGAGTGCATAGTTACTT